AATTAATACTTGACAAAGGAGGCCGGAGCATAAACTGGAGTAAATAGCCTCTTCAACAAATGATGTTTGAAGATCTTGACAGCTACATGCAAAAAAAAAAAAAAAAAAAAAAAAAAAAGTGAAACTAGACCACCAACTTACACTATACACAAAAATAAACTAAAAAGGATAAAACACTTAAGTATAAGTCATGACACCATAAAAATCCTGGAGGAGAACATAGGTAGGAAAATTTCAGATATCCCACATAGCAGTATTTCCACGGATACATCCCCTGGGGCAAGGGAAATAAAGGAAAGAACAAACAAATGGGACTACAACAAATTAAAAAGCATCTGCATGGCTAAAGAAACCATCATTGAAATGAAAAGGAAACCAACCATATGGGAAAATATATTTGTCAATGATACCTTGGACAAGGGTTTGATCTCCAAAACACATAAAGAACTCATATGACTCCACTCCAGGAAGACAAACAATGCAGTTAAAAAATGGGCAGAGGGTGAACAGACACTTCTCCAAAGAGGACATAGAAGGCCCATAGGCATATGAAAGAATGCTCAACTTTACTAGCCATCAGAGATGCAAATTAAAACCACAATGAGATACCACTTCACACAAGTCAGAATGACCATCATAAGTAGGTCAACAAACAACAGATGCTGGCGAGGTTGTGGAGAAAAGGAAACCCTAGTACACTATTGGTGGGAATGCTGACTGGTGCAGCCACTGTGGAAAACAGTATGGAATTTCCTCAAAAAACTAAAAATGGAACTGCCTTTTGACTTAGCAATTCCACTGCTGTATTATTCCCTAAGAATCCCAAAACACCAATTCAAAAGAACATATGTACCCCAATGTTCATAGCAGCATTACTTACAATAGCCAAGTTCTCCAAACAGCCTAAGAACCCATCAGTAGATGAGTGGATCAAAACACTGTGGTACATTTTTACAATGGAATACTACACAGCACAAAGAAAGAAGGAATTCCTACTCTTTGCAACAGGGATCTATGGTCTGTAGCTGACTCCTTCAGTTGTTAACCTAGTCACTCTGCACTCAGCAGTCAGGCTTAAGCATCATAGGTGGGCAGAGTCCCTCCTGGGGTTGGGGCTATTGTTTCCCCTAAGGCTGCTGCCACTTGGTGGGGAGTTGTCTGCTTGAGCAAGATGGCTGCTGCAGTATGGAGGATGACTCAGCACTAAGATCCCGGAAGCTGGTCTCTCAGTTCTCTCCCCAAAGCCTCCATTCCCAGTCTCTCCCCAAATGTCTCTAGCCCACTCGGCCCCCGTCCCTATTGGCTGGAGCCCAGAGTAAGTGGCTGCAAATGAAAATTTATGTGCTGGTCCTTTAAATGGCTCGTTGGGTCTTTAGCCATCCATCTCTGGCAGAGAGAAACCCTGTTGCCTTTTGCAGCTGAATGTTATCTGTGTACTTTTTGGGCTTGGTGTTCTGGGCTGGGAATCCCAGTTTAGGGTTTAGACCTCACACTTCTCAGGGGGATCCAACCAGCTGCTTAAATATCCCTCCAGCACTTCAGCTGCTGCCTGTGGTCATCCAGCAGTTCTCTCTCACTGCCAACACACTTCCTACCAGCCACATTATGCTGAAGCTGTTTCTTCTGTCTGCTCATGGTTATAAGGCTTATCTCTCATTATTGTTCAGTTGTTTTTTCCGGATGATTTCTCCACAATGTAGTTGTAATTCCAGATTGGTCCTGGGAGGAGGTCAGTGTAACTTCCACTCAGTCCTCTGCCATCTTAGATCTCTGGAACTGACAGCTTTAAGAGTGGCATAACCTGCCCCTCCACTCTCTCCTGGGTTGAGCAGAAACCAACTGCTGCTGATCTACTACTTTAGGGCTAACATATTGCTCAACATAGGAGATGTTTCAAAGAATCTTTGTGGGATGAGAGAATATATGGATTATCCGATTCAGCCTCACAATTACGCTGTGACATAAGCAAAGGAAGAATCATTTGTCCCCTTTGTGTATCTACCTACTATAAGTTTTTGCTTCCCTTTTGATATAGATGAAGAAATTGGGACTGAGACTTCAGTGACTTATGTAAGAGCCAATATTTTAAATTAAATCTGGTACCATAATCCCAGTATGAAAAGAAAAGGGGTAATACCCTAGGCCCTGCCCAGCTTTTAACATCTTATTATATTAATATCCTTTGTTAGTTGAGATTCACTGGTCTAACAAAGACCTGAGAAAATGAGCCATCAAAGGGGTCAAGGCATCAGGATATTCAAAACATGGTACAACTTCACAAGTATCTACAATGATTTTCCCCATGAAATTTAGCTCCTAATCTATAATGTTCCAGTTACTATGGTTCATAAATTACCCTAAAACTTAGTAATTTTTTTATTTATTATGCTCATAGATTCCATGTTTTAGGAATTTGGATAAGGCACAGAGGGTAGCTTGACCCTGCTCCACAATATCTGGGGCCTCAGCTGGAAGGCTTGAAGACTGGAGGCTGGAGTAATCTGAAGGCTAGAGAGAGATGGAGGTTCCATCTCCAAGTTTATTCACATGAGTGTTGGCAACAGACCTTCATTCCTTAATATGTGGGCCTCTCCAAGGGCAGCTCTGACATGGCAGCTGGCTTCCCCCAGAGCCAGTGATCCAGGAGAGAAAGAGAATGTGAACAAGATGGAAGGCATCATGCCTTTTTAAACCTAACTCTGAAGTGGGATAGCATCACTTCTTCCCTATGCTATTGGTCACACAGACCAACCCTGGGACAGCGTAGGAGGGAAATACACAAGGATGTAAATAGCAGAAGTTGGGGTCACTGGGACCTTTTTAAAAAAATATAATCTGCCACATGAATATGGTTATATGTACACATCTTCCTTCTCCTTATCTTTAAATCCAAATCTATATTTGTTTGTCTCCATCCTCATGCCCCAACTTCTTGCATGCAGTAGGTACTCAATAAGTACTTGTCAAATGGATATTGTACAAGACATTCCTAGTGTTTTCTCATAGCCAGTTTCTTCCTTTACTGCACATAGAGTACTTTTCAGCTCCCTTGGAGATGAGGGGGCCTTGTAACCACTTCTGGATAATTAAATGTCAGCAGAAAAGACTTGTGTTACTGTCAAGCTGAAGTAATAAAGAGCACAGTCATGATCCACTAGTCATTCTCTCCTGTAGTGGCATCCTAGGAAATGTAGAGGACGCATGTTCTAGAAAGTGCACCTATAAGTAAGGATAGTCTGTTAACTGTGAGACAGGCAGCAGACATATGAAAATTCTCTGGCAGCTGTTACTGCAGCCTGACCTGGCCTATCCTGATTACAGATGTATGATCTCTTTTACCAGTCCATTTGGCTCCAAGTTGCAGATGAGGAAAATGGAGCTCAGAACAGCCACAAGACTTGTGGAGCTTAGTTTGTAAAGTAGGAACATAACTGTTACCTTTTCAAAAGGGTTGTTATGAGGATTAAATATTTAATCATAATTTTTCAATGCTTATTATTGTTACCATCATTTCTCTATACTAAAGCTTCAGAGCAACTAACTAGGTGTATTTCTACTTTTTTCCTTTCCCCTTCCCCTGACTCAGATCATTTTCAAGGCATTTAGCAAACAATTTTAAAGCCCCAAGAATACCTGTTCCCCTGGTTTCTCTTGGTGAAGATGTCAAGATCATAATTTTCCTTAGAAAACATAACACATTTTCTAGTGTTCAGTTATTAGTCTTTTTTTGCCCAATGTGCTTCTTGGGCATTTCTCACATGCATGGCTCCTGGTGGTAGGATGCAGCAATGATGACTCAAGTAAGTAGACATAATACAAAGCAAGCAGTTGCTCTACCAGCATTCAAGAACTTACAGCAAAAGACTTTCAAGGAAAACAAAGCTTGGTATACAAAGTAGCACAGGTACCTAATTGGGAGGAAGAGGCATTTCCAAAGTGGTCCTCATGTACTGGTTAAAAAATCATTATTTGTTCCTCAGCTTAGGAACAGTCAAATAAATGATGACCCAGCCATATAATAAAATACTATGTAGTCACCAAAAAGGATGATGTATGAATGTATGAATCTTGACCTGGAACAATGTTGACAACATGGTTTTAAGTGAAGAGAAGCAAGGTCCAGAAGAACACATAGAGAATAATCCTGATTTTGTAAAAGAAATGTATTTTAAGATGGATACATAAATGTGTACCCATAAGCTGGGTACATTCATGTATCATGTATGCACCTATATATACAAATATACATGTGTGAGTATGTACACACACACACATAAACATACATACACGCACACTGTTATATGAAAAAATATAGAAGAATCACTCAAAATTGTTAATTTTGACAGTTTACTGGGTGGGAATGAAGGGTAGCAAGGATTGCACCTTTCAGCTTACAACAGCTATATTGTTTGAGTTTATTTACCTTTAATTTTTTTTAATCCTCACCCAAGAATATGTTTTTATTGATTTTTTTTTTTAGAGAGAGAGGGAGAGAAACATCAATGTGAGGAACATCGATCAGTTGCCTGTCTTATGCTCCCCAATTGGGGATCAAACCTACAGCTTAGGTATGTGCCCTGACTGGAGATCGAACCCACAACCTTTTGGTGTACAGGATGACACTCCAGCAAACTAAGCCACCTGGCTGGAGGCGTTTGAATTTATTTTAATGAACATATATTACTTGCCATTCATAAAACACATATAAATAAAAACAAGCTACCTGTCTCTCAAGTGAGAACAATGTTGATTAACACCAAGAAGGATTCAGCTGTGAGTCAAATGCTTTACGTGCACTATCTAAATGAACCCACACCATAGCTCTATCTCTATGTGCCTATCCTTATATTATAGATAACAGCAGTTAAGGCTCAGAGTCAAAGATTCATAGTCATACAGTTCAGTGTGTAGCAAATACATTAGATAACAAGATATGCATTCCCCAAAATGCAGTCTAGCTGTACTCAGCACATATTGTACCACAGTTTCTGCAAATTCACCTGTTTATCAAACTCGGGCTTCAGAGATTCTTCAGTGAAAATGTGGAATTGCATCTTCCTGTGGCTAAAGAGCACGGCTGATTTTAGCATAACAAGTGTCTCCTCTAAACGACTGCCACAGGCCACCACAGCCAGATGGATCCAGAGCTTGGGTGGCAGCACAGCATGAAAACTCCTGGGTTCTCCAGGTCTCCTAGAAAGAAAAAAGTTGAAGCTATTACTAAACTCATTTTTTTTAATTAATTTATTTACTTTTTAAATACATTTGTCTTGTTAAGCTGATAAACTCATTTTTTTAAAAAAAGGTAGTATGTGGTTGGAATATTTCAAAACATGAACATGCATAACCTGTTATACTGTATAAAGTGATAAGCATTTTGACAATTCTTCTTGCTTGAAGAAAAATACCATTTATTCCAGTATTTATCCTTGTAATAGCAGGATGAGTCACTGTTCGGACTGCTATATGTATCTGGAACTTTTCTTCCAGCACTCAGCTGTCTAGTGCCTGATGGCTGCCTACTGGCCCATGTTTGGAAATAACAATGCTGAACTTGACAGCTGAGACAAGGGCTGTGGAACTCCTCCTTACATGGGCCATGGAAATTAGATTTGAATGCAACTTGAATAAGAGGACGGGTCATGGCTTTCCCATGTGAAATGAGCAACATGATATTCCCATCGTCTGGATGGTTTTAGGTTGCAGTGGAATTTATGACCACTGAACCAAAGGAAAACCATGCAAGTCCAGAAGGTGAGCACAGAAACCAACAAAATGGGCCTCTATTACATGTTAGGAGAGTCTCAAAGAAACAGGTGTTAATCTTAACCCTCTCACTCAAGATTGCTGCTGTGGTATGTGTGAAAGTCAGCTTCCAGTATGAAACTGATATTAATGAGAAACAGGCAGGAGAGGGGACAGGTTAAGCTGAAAATTAACAAGGTATCAAATACCAAGTTAACAGCTGAGAGGGGACTCGGATCCAAGAGTCCAGAATCATCATTCTGCTATTTCCTCATAATAAAAGATTTGTTCCAGACAAGGAGATGCAGCCAAGCCTCAAACACACTACTGAGAAACGTTTGCAGGCATTTTGGAAGAAGTTGGCCTGGAAAAGGTACCCTGAGACAAATGAAACTAATTTACTTGTACTAAAGATTCAGAGACCAGGGAAACTTGGATGTCGGATGCTACCTTCCTTCCAAAAACTTTCAGTACAGTCAGCGTGCTGGTCCACTCTTCACTGCTCTGTTGAATAATGGCAGTTTGCTCTAGGTTTCTTTCACCAGTAAGAAAGCTAAAGATGTGGGTGGAGCACACATCTTTGGACAGCTTTCTAATTTGATTACTTAGGATCATGCTTAATAGAAGCCCAGCCTCCTGGCTCAGCTAAGCCCAGATACAGGAAGTTACTCAGACTCCACTTATTTCAGCAATCACAGGAAAAGAGAGTAGAGATGTCCTAAGCATCTCCCTAAATTATCCAATTCTCTTCATCCTCCTGTTGAAGGCCACCATCTTTCTTCACGTTGATACTGTGACAGCTTCCCTATAATTGAAAAGGTGATTGCAATACAATACATTTTAAGAAAAAGAGTCTATTCACATAACTTTTATTACACTATATTTTTATCATTGTTCTATGTGCTATTGTTAATCTCTCACTATGTTAAACTTATAAATTAAACTTTATCAGTGGTAGGTATAAATAGGAAAAACAGTATATGCAGTAGTACGCCCTTATCCAGGTGGATATGTTCTAAGACGCCCCCCACCCCGTGGATGCCTGAAACCACAAATAATACTGAACCCTGTAAATACATTTCTCCTATGCACACATGCCTTTTCATTTAAAGAAGGTACTTTACAGCTCCTCTTTGGCATATCCAAATTGCCTTTTGTGCTTTGGGGCCATTATTAAGTAAAATAAGGGCTACTTGAACCCAAGCATTTTGATACCCTTACATTTAATCTGAAGACCAAAGACAGCTACTAAGTAACTAATGAGTAGGTAACACATACACTGACAGAAGGATGATTCACATTTTGGGTGGGACAGAGCGGGATGGCTAAAGAGCTCATCATGCTACTCAGAACGGTGCACAATTTAAAACTTTTGAATTATATATTTATGGAATTTTCCATTTAATATTTTCAGACCACTGTTGACCATGGGTAACTAAAACTGAGGATAAGAAGGGACTACAGTAATGGAAAAAAAACGGACCAAGATGCCTACCTTTGCAGAAGTTACATTCTACAAGTAGAGGAGAAAGACAAAGAAAGAAATAACAGTCCAAGAAAATAGTAACTAAGCCCCTGGAAGGAAATATATAGTAGAGCAGGAAAAGATACAGGAGTGGCTGCTAGATGGGCAAAGTTGGAAAAGGCTCCACTGAGAAGGGGAGATCTGGAGACAACCTGAATAGGTTGGGGAGTGAGCCTTGTACATTTCTGGGTGAGGAGCATTTCAGACTGAGGGAACAGTCAGAGCAAAGGTGCTAAATCAGGAACATGCCTGGTGAGTTTGAGGATGCCTGTCTTCAGGACTCAGATGTCTGTTCTCTTCCTCAGCTTCATGGCTGGGTTTTTATAACCTGCTATTAAAAGCCAACTCCAAATTAATTTATGCAGATAGATGGGAAGGATGTGTCTCAGATAATGCTAAAATCACAAACAACTAGCCAAAATATGGTACATATAACTCATTTGCTTAAAAATATGCTCAATGTTTAGAAACATAGATATCATTCAAGGTTTCTAAAACAAATGCAGTAGCTTAGATATCTTAAATGTGAACAATTACCCCAACCAAAACGGAGTCACTGTGCCTGGTTTAGCTTTACGTACTAGGCTTCTACATGAATAGAAAGTTTAACTTTAGTAATCTGGGAAATACAAATTCAAACAATAAAAAGAATTAATTTTATTTTTAGATTGGCAAAAATTAAAAAATAAAATAAAAGTTGGACCATGTGAGCTTTGAATTGGATGGAGGTGGGAGACAGTTCAGCCACTTCTAGGGGCAGGATAAATTGGCCCAACACTTTGAAGAGCCACTTGGCAACATCTAGCAAGAGTGAAGATATACATATACCTTTCAGCCTTCTACTTCTACATTATATCATGAAGAAACTCTTGCTCACTTGAACAAGACCCCTCCATGCAATAATATTCACAGCAACCCTGTTTATGATAGAGAAAAATTGGAAATAACTTTGCTGTCCACACACAGAACAATCATGAATATATTTGATATGTTTAAGTGGAATGTTCCGTAGCAGTGAAAATGAACAAACCAGAATGCCAGACATAAACATAAGACCAAAAAAGAAAAAAAGCAATTTGTAGAAGGAAAGCGATGGAATACCATTTAGATCAAGCTTAAAAACAAGCAAAATAGTACTATATGTTGTTCACAGACATGTGGAAAAAAAGTAAACATACATAAGGATGATAAACATCAAATGCAAGATAGTGGTTATCTTTGGGGACTTATGTTTTTATTTCCTAAGGTGAGTGCAGGGTACACAGAAATTGTTATTATCTTTATATCGTTGTGTGCCCAAACTATTTGTGTACTTTTTTCTAATTAAAGAAAGCTTGCACTCCTCTGCTACACAGTGGCCACTCCTCTTCTTTGCAAGCTTTAGTGATTTGGGAATGCAGGGGCTAGGGACAACAGTCTTTCCTGGTGTTTGGTGACAGGTACTAAAAAGGAAAAGTAAAATCCTCTCCTGGTGGCAGTTTAAGTATAAGTGGTGGGGATTTAGAGACCTTTGAGGCCCTGACTCTGTTACCTCTAACATTATGTTAAAAATCTCAGGCTTCAGGTAATGAGCATTTGTGTTGTGCAGTCACAATGAATACTCAAGTTGAAGGTCACTGAAATATGTGACTTTCACTAACTCCTACTAATGACACACTCAGCACCTCTCAAATTCCACTCGAGACTGCGAGGATCAAGGGAAGTCCAGTCTAAAAACCTAGGACTTAACCCCTTGAATCAGACTTCAGTGGGGAATGGGTGATGGGAATTGTAGCAGTGCTCTAACTGATGACTATGTTTAAAAGAGGACTGAAGTGGACATTTGCTATCCAGGAGTTTTAAAGACCTGTTGCTTAAGACAAAGAGCTAACTGTAAACTGTCAGCCACCACACTGGTAGAGCCTAAATGGGAGTCAAAGTAACACAGTAGAAAGCAGAGCCAAAAGGTGATGGGTGGCACTACTTGAGGACCTGGATCCAGGTGCTCCAGACCCTAAACTTGGACAGTTCATCTATTAAGACAATCAATTTTTTTGCTTAAGTGAGTTTGAAATAAACTTACGACTTAGCAATCAAAAGAGACTCCTAGCATAGCTCTTTAAAATGTTCCCATTCACCTTTGACTCACTCTGCCTCTCTCATATTCTCACCTTGAGCAATTCTTTGAAATATTCATTGAATCCATTCCTCCTCTTTTGCTCAGTTCTAGGGCCCTGATCCAAATTCTCATCATTCTTCTAGTTTTGAAGCTGGAAGAGATAACAGATCCCATCTAGTGCAGGGGATCCCCTACCTGACTGCACATCGTAACTATTGGAGGTGTTTGGTAATATGCAAACCTCAACCGCACGCAGATTCCAATTCAGTGGGCCTTTGGTGAGGCCCTGGAGTTTGCATATTAACACCCTTGCACTACAACCACCCATAGTCCAGCTAAACCAGGAACTACTTATTTGAGCTGACATCTCACCTCCCTTCTCTCTCCCAAACACTTCTCCCATACCTTCAGGAACACCATTTCTATTCTCAGTCTTTTCTCAGGATATTCTTCTTGCCTCTTGCCTTAATGAAAACATGGCTGCCTTGTGAGGATGCCACCTTCCAGCAGACCCTCTTTCTCCCCACTCCAATTTCTGTCTCCATTATTGGGGACTTCAACTACTATTTAGAAGATGCTTCCAGCACTCTGACCCTTCACTTTAGTGACCTACATGTGCATCACATTTTCCTTCTTTCCCCTGAGATGCCCACTGTTGTGTTCACCTCCTGGGTCACTCCACAAACTGTGTCCTCTACTTGAAGTATTCCTCCCTGGCTCTGTGCATGGCTGCCTCTTCTCTTTCGGACAGCAGTGTGGTCCTCTTTGACTTCCTCATCAAAGGAACACCCTCTCTTTTATCTGCCAGGCTCTTCTCTTATTTCC